CCATCTAAAGTTCCTCCATTTCTGCCATGCCCTCCCCAATCCCCATAATACAGATCAGCATCCTTATATCAGAGAAAACATTTGCATTTGTTTTTTGGGATTGACCTACTTAACTTAGCTTTATCTTCTCTAACTCCATCCATTTACCTGCAAATGCCATTATTTTATTCTCTCTTAATGTTGAGTAATATTCCATTGTGTATATATATCACAGTTTGAAGGGCACCTAGGTTGGTTCCACAATTTAGCTATGTGAATTGTGCTGCTATAAACATTGATGTGGCTGTGTCCCTGTTTGTTGTTTTTAAGTCCTTTGGTTATAAACCAAGGAGTGGGACAGCTGGGTGAAATGGTGGTTCCATTCCCAATTTTTCAAGAAATCTCCATACTGCTTTCCAGATTGTTTGCACCACCTTACATAGTATGAATATGCCTTTTTTTTCCCAATACTTATTTTGATTGTTTTCTTGATAACTGCCATCCTGACTGGAGTGAGATGAAATTGTCGAGTAGTTTAGATTTGCATTTCTCTAATTGCTAGAGATGTTGAACATTTTTTCATGTATTTGTTGATTGTGTATCATCTTCTGAGAGGTGTCTGTTCAGTTCCTTGGCCCATTTATTGATTGGGTTATTTGTTTTGGTGTTAAGATTTTTGAGTTTTTTATATCCTAGAGATTAATGCTCTATCTGATGTGTCTGATAAAAATTGGCTCCATTCTGTAGGCACTCTGTTCATCCCACTGACTGTTTCTTTTGTATTTTCAGCAGCTTTTTAAGTGAACATTCTTGTATAAAAGATTCAAATATCTTTGACACCATCGCTTTTTTTTATACCCACTAACTACATGATATTACAAAAACAAAAGCCATTCCTTTGCTTTAAAAAAAAAGTACTGAAGGGAAAGAAATATTAAATTTTAACAGTACTTACAGAAAGTAAATTTTTAAGACCAGTGACTTAGTAGGCTGGTGAGTGGCTTATGAAAATTCAGAGTAGTCACAAAATGGGAAAATGGGTGCCTTAAAAAGCTTTAATGGCAAGGGTACCCAGGTGAGACTTTATGCCTTCATTTCTGACAGGTATGTTTGCTACTCTGCCAGTCTTTTTTGGATGATATCTATTTGTTATATTTAATACTGCATTAAAAAGCGGATACCCTGGAGGATCTTTGACAGTGAGTATATCAATGATATTTATTCTGTATATATTGATATTTCCAGTTGGCTCTAGGATATATTAGTAAATAACTGTTCCATCAGTGTTATAGTGTTATTGAAGTAGAATGAAATCCTGAATTTATATGAACAGATGTAGAAGATATTTATATTTTGAAACTGTTACAATGTTTTTCTAAGTCCTTTATGTCAGGCATTTTATTAGGTGTCTATTACCACAATTAATCCTAAGAACTCCAAAGTATTATGTGTTTCTTAAGGTTGCTAACATAAGACAACAAAATAAAAGGGAACTGAACAATTGTTAAAAGGTGTTTCATTAGATGGAACAAATGTAGAAGCATATTTACTATATTTTTATTATGATGAAATATAAACATTCTTTTCCCCCCCCCCACAGGTTTTAGCTGTTTCAAGTAAACAAGATGCACAAAGAAAATTTGAAGCTCTGTTAAATCACCTGTCACATCCTCCATCATTCACATCTGTCAGAGTAAATACACATTTAGCCTCAGTACAACATGTAAAAAGTCTGTTAGTAGATGAACTTAAGAAGGTTTGTGTAAATTTTTTGTCATTATATCAAATTACATTACCACAGTGTGTCATGTTGGTCCACAGTAAAGCCCAATGAATGGTATAATAATATTGCAGTCTTATAAACAAGAAAGTTGAATAATGGATGTTAAATTACACAAGCTTGAATAATAAGTGGTAATGCTACAAATTTGAATATGGCACTTCTCATTCTGAATTAGATGAGGAAAATACTTTTAAAATAGGACAAAAAGTCTTTTGTGTTGTTTTGACAAAATATTTTTGGCATGATACTTCGTAAGTGAAGACAATATTATAAAATGACTGTTTTTTGATTTCTAGCCAGAAAAGTAGTATCTTATTTAACTTGTATTGTCGTCTCTGCTTTCAAAACAATTATCTAGCAATGGTATTGATTAATTTCTTTTTCCTTCAGTCTTATTACATTATTGAATGTTTCATGGTCTCTTTAAGAATCATTTGATAAGTTTCATGTTGTAAGAAGATAAGTATATGAGAACAAAACAATATAATAAATAGAAAAAGTAATATTGAGTGTAATAATAGGTAAAATATAAGCAGTTCATAAAATGACTAGGCTTCTTAAATGACTACTCTCGTACATATATTTTTGTCTAGTAGAAAAGAAACTGTTCTGAAGCCCATCTGAGGTGTGTATAATTCAAGTAGATTAGATCATTTTCATTTCTAACAAATTGTTCCAAAAACTTGGGTGTGTCACAATCTGATGGAAATCTAAGATCTCATGGACTAGGATTTTAGGACTGTCACTCTGAGATTTGGGTCTTTTTCTTTAAAGGTTAGGATTGAACAGTAAAGCCTGGGTCTTAGGCACTAGATGGGAAACTGTATACCTAAGTCTAGCAAGAAAGGGGACTTAGAAGAACTAAGTCTAGTTTTGACTAGTCTAAATTTTCTATTTCCACATTCCAAACTCCAGGTGTGTCCTGCAGAGATGTCCCAAGTAGTATGGTACTAGGTAATTTGTCATAAATTTCTCTGGAACATATATTGCAATTCAAAATTTTTAAATTTCATATAGCTGATAGAGTTGTGAGGAAATTTGATGCTTTTGTAAATTACAGCTGGTAATATAAAATGGTGTAATCTCTTTGGAAAACAATTTTGGTAATATCTTTAATACAAATTTACTGTGTAGCCCAGCAATTCCATTCCTATGAATCTTCCCCAAAAGAAGTAAAAACATGGCCATTCATATTCTTGAACGTGGCTATTCATTGTGGCATTATTCACAAGTCAAAAGGGGATAAATCCAAATGTTTATCAACTAGTGATAGACAAATGTAAAATATTCATACAGTGGAATATTGTTCTACAGTACACGTAATTAATCAATGCAATAAAGTGGATTAACATCAAAACACTATTAATAAAAATGAGACATAATATTACTCTATATGAAATTTTCAGAAAAGGCAATTTTATTTATCTATTTTTGTACTAGGGATTTAATCCAGGAGCACTTAACCACTGAGCCATATACCCAGCTTTTTTTTTTTTTTTAGACAGGGCCTTGCTAAATTACCGAGACTGGCTTTGAACTTGCAATACTCCTGAGTTACTGGGATTACTGGCCTGTGCCACCATGCCTGGCTCAGAAAAGGCAAATTTATAAAGAAAGATTAGTGGTATGAGAATGGGAACAGGATTTGACCACAGATCGTCATGAGGGATTTTGTAGGGTGGTGTAAATTATCTAGAATTGGATTGGAATGCTGATTGCACATTTTTTTAAAATTTACTAAAAAAATCATTAAATTTACTGCAAGTTATTCTATATTTAAAATGGGTGAGTTTCTGATATGTAAATTATACTTCCTAGGACTGTAAAAGCAGATCATATGCTTGGTTTTTTTGTGTGTTGCTTTGATAGTTAGTCACATGTATGATTTTATGATAGTTTTGTTTTTGTATCCTCTTAACAAGTTTCTGATAGAAAAGGAAAGAAGAAAACCTTTAATTTGGGAAGGGTTGATCTCTATATAAAATATTTCTATACTATAAAGCAAATAGTATTTATAAAACAAAAAGAAATGACACAATTTATTATCTTCTCAGATCTGTTTAGTTGATACCCAACAGGGAGAGAGAGAAGGAGTTTATCCATCAGATTACTCATTGTTAGATGTGGTTACAGTCAAAAACATCCTTTGGAAAATGCAGAAGTCAAGGGAGATACTGACTTGGTAGAAATATTAGAAATTTTAGAAACTTTCATTTCTAAAATATGTAATATGTTTACATTTATCTAGTTAGAAATAAGTTGATTTTACAAGTGTTTTCTAGCTAGAATACTACATAGCAATGCAAGTATTATTGTTATTGCTCTTTCATATAGTTTGTGAAGTTGAGTTGTTAATTCCTAGCCTACCTGGCATAGACTTGTTCTCAATATTTGCATATTTTCCTGTAATACTGTACATAGTCCTGTTATCCAATTCATTGTTCCATTTGCTCTTCATTCTGCATGGGGTGACAAGTCATCTGCCTGCAACAGTGGTATGCTGCTACATATTTAACAGGCAATTTTCTGGGAAATATAACCTTATCAGTGGTTTAAATACTCCCACAATGGTCAGTTTCAAGCTACCAGTGTGGCTATGGAATTTGGGAAGGACACACACTGTGGGCTTATGTGAGCTTATTCCATCCACCACCTGTAGTGCTGGTTTTGTGCTTATTTCCAGTCTAACCAACCAAATATAGAGGATACTGAAAATTCTGAACTGCCAAAAGCATTTGTTTCCTTCATTAAAATTGACATGGCTTCTGGTGTTAATATTGTATATTAATTAGTATTCGGTAATTTCAATATTTAATATCCTATTCAGAAACTTTTAAGTGACTATATTTAATTCTATATTAGAGGTATGTATTCAAAGTAAGTCATGAAAGGTAAACGTCGTTTGTGTTCATTTATTTTGGTACTGGAGTTTGAACTTTGGTGCTCAATCACTGAACTACATCCCAGTTCTTTTTTATTATTTTTAAATTTTTTTAAAGTACTAGAATTGATTATTTTTTATTTTGAGAGTTGTCTCAGCTGGCCTGGAGCATATAATCCTTCCCTTAGGCTCCTGAGTAATTGGGATGATAGGCATGCATCACTATGACCAGCTTATAGTTTGTGTTTGTGAAGTGAAACGGTAAGCAAAATTGAGTCTTACAAAAGAAGTCAAGTTAGGGCTGGGGATGTGGCTCAAGCGGTAGCGCGCTCGCCTGGCATGTGTGCGGCGCTGGATTAGATCCTCAGCACCACATAACAAATAAAGATGTTGTGTCCTCCGAAAACTAAAAAAAAAAAAAAAAAAAAATATTAAAAATTCTCTCTCTTAAAAAAAAAAAAAAAGTCCAAGGCCAGCCTTAAAAATAAAAAGGGCTGTGTTTATCTAGCTCAATAGTAGAGTACTCTTAGCTTTAATCCCCAATACCTACCTTCCCCCTAAAAAAATACATCAGAATTTTAAAGAAAATGTTATTTTGAGGTGCCTCCCCATATCCCATGGAACAAAATGAAAGTGCCCCAAATCAAGCTTTATATTAATTTCTTTATAATTTTGTGTTTGTTTTAAACAGCAGCTTAATGGATTAATTGTTCCTGTTCTTCAACATCCAGACCTTCAGGATGTCTTACTTATTCCTGTTATTGGACCTAGGTTTGTGACTGTTTCATTTTCAAATTATATTTTTTTCTAAATAAAGATTTATCACAGGATTGTTTTTTACTCTTTGGTGATAATGTGAAGTTTCTCCATAGATAAACAGGAATTTATAAATTGATAAATGTAAACTTTGTCATGGGAAACACTAAAGAAGACTAGGAATGGGTGGTAGGACAGATACACATACCTTTATTTTTTTTTTAATGTGGTGCCTCACACATGCTAGGCGAGTGTTCTGCTGAGCCACAACCCCGGCCCCTCATTTTTAATTATTTTAATAGTTAAAATAATTTTTTTATTTGTTAATAAAACTTTATTTTACTTATTTTTATGTGGTGCTGAGAATTGAACCCAGTGCTTCACACTTATGAGGCAGGTGCTCTACCACATAGTCACAACCCCAGCTCTTAATAGTTTTAATTAGGTGTCTTTGTACTATTTTTCCTCCAGTTTTTATTGTGTACTATTGCACCTTATTATTGGTTTACTCAGTAAATATAAGCTTTTAACATGTTTTATGGCCTATGACAACTCTTGCATTTCCTCTTTTGTATTTCCTAAGTGTCCAAGATTTCTATTCAGAAAACATCATCATGTAAACATCCCCTGCCTGGTACATACCCAAAGTCTGAACTGGAAGAAGGAAATCTGGTGTTCCTCTTAAATACCAGTTTTTATGGCTTTAGGCACAGTGAACTACTCTTATCAGTTAATAGTAGGGTCACTTCTGAAATCTAAACTGCAGATGCCAGTCAAGGCCAGCCTTAAAAGCAGACCCTTCAAAGGGAAACAGGCTTGTTATGTTAACTTTTATCTGTAGCTATCCATTCTAGAATTCATTATTTTCTCTCCTTAAATTCATTAATTAACATTACAAGTTTCCATTGTACAAATTTATGCTGTGGGTAAGGTGCAAGTATTACAAAGACAAATGGGTCATACTTGTTCAGCTTAATGGCAACTGTAGTTGTTACAAGTCAGATGTATGATTAACATGATGAAAGTGTCAGTGAGCTGCTATTGGGTAATGAAGGACTGAGTACATAGAAATTTGTAAAGATTTTCTCTAAGCAGGTATTTTACTTGAGCTTGAAGATGAGTAGAAATTAGGCTGATAAGATTAGGTGGAAAAATGAATGTATGCTAGGTACAAAGAAAGCATACCCAAAGATTTGAAATCATAAAAATCCTGATGGTTCATGATAAAAGAGATCAGATTTGGCTGCTGAATTGATTTTTTTCAGAAAGGTAGGTGAAGGACAGATTGTAGTTAGGAGAGACAGGTTGTGAAATAGGAAGGATATTTTTAACTAAGAATATTTTCCCCCCATAGACTCTAGGAGCCAAAGAATTAGTGTTAGAGTAACCATTAGATCTGTATTTTAGAAATATAATACTGGTAATAGTTTTACATTAGTGAGTTGTGAAGTTAATTTTTTTAAGAATTAAATGGATATTTATGTCCTTAAAATTTGTATAATAAAGGAGTTGTTTCATGAAATGATAAAAATGTGTGTCCACACACATGGAGCCATGTAGGTGGAGTGGGTTGTTGTATTTGGTGTTTTTTTGTTTTGTTTTGTTTTTTAAAATTTTTAATTGTTGATGGACATTTATTTTATTTATAAATAAATCGAACCCAGTGCATCATGCATTTGAGGCAAGCGCGCTACCACTGAGCCCCAGCCCCAGCCCCAGAAATTAGGAATGGAGAGTAATGGGGAAAATAAAGCAGTAAGCATCTAGAGTAATATTAGGGGGGTGAGATTTGGAGAAAGAATGTCATTCATGGTTTTTATGTTTTTTTTTTTTTTTTTTTGGTACTGGAGATCTAACAGATACTTTACCACTGAGCTACATACCCAACACATTTTTTCAATTTTGAGACAGGGTCTGGCTAAGTTACTGAGGCTGTCCTTGAACTTGCAGTCCTCCCATCGAAACCTCCTGAGATGCTGGCATTACAATAGTGCACCACTGTATCTGGCCATTTATTGTTTTTTAAATTTAGAGTCTTTGATTTTTAATATGGGCTTAACATTGGGACTAAGATCTGTCCAGCAATCATTATGAGACAGGAATTAGGAGGCAAGGTGTGTCTCTGTTAGGGTCTAGGTTAGAGAAAAAAAATTCTGATAATGCACTATGTTTCCATACCTCACAAAGGCTTGGAATTCAAATCTTATTACTCAAATGGTCTTGAAATCTACATTCTGGGAAATTGACATATAAATTGGGTTCCAAGCCAATTCTTCCACTACTTGGCACAAACCAATCAAAATCATTCTAGATTGGCACACTTTTAAGCCAAGCCTCACACTTTTCTCATCCTTAAAAGATAATTTAGGAATCAGACTATCATAGTGAAAATTAGTTCAGTAGACTACAGAAATAGAGTCCCCTAAATTCTAACAGAACTTTCTGGTAGAGGATATAAATCAGTTTTCCTAACTGATTAAAAACAAAAGAATAAGACAAAAAGGTAGAATTGATAAATAATTCATAGAAATATTGTTAAAATTAAGAATTCACTCCACAAACTAAACTTAGACCCAACTGATACAATTATTGAATTAGGTGATGATTCAGGAAATGATCCAGAATGCAGCAGAGATAAAGAAATTAGAAATTTGAAATTGAAATTGATTAATGGTAAATGGAATGAAAAGACAGCTTATATTTCTAATGAGTCCCAGATATAAAGAACAGAAATAATGGAGAAAAGACTATAATGAAAGCATTAAGAATTTTCTAGAATTGATGAAAGACAAATTTAAGAAGTACAAGTTTAAACCCAAAAGTAAAACAATGCATGTCTAAGTACTTCAGAGTGAAACTGTAGAACACCAAAGACATAAAGTTCTGAAAGTAATTAAAGGTAAAAGGAAACTGCATCAGTAACAAGTAAAGAGATGATGTATGTGTGAAGTTAGGTGCTAGACCCAAGAAGTCAGTCAAGCTGGGCATGGTGACACACATCTCCTAGTGTCTCGGGAGGCTGAAGCAGGAGGATCGTGAGTTCAAAGCCAGCCCCAGCAACTGTGAGGTGCTAAATAACTCAGACCCTATCCCTAAATAAAATACAAAATAAGGCTGGGGATGTTTCTCAATAGTGGAGTGTCCCTGAGCTCAGTCCCTGGTACTCAAAAGAAAAAGTCAAAACTTGAGGTAGCATTCCATAACTGAAGGAAAGTCAAGGCTTAGGAAGAAGAGGTTCAAACGTATTTTGGGATAGTAATTTATAAAGAACAGAAATTTCTCACAGTTCCAGTGGGTGGGGAATCTGAGAATAAGGTGCAGGTGCTTGGTGAGGTCTTGCTGTATCCTCACATGGTTGGAGGGTGTTAGAGCAAGAGAGGTGTTAGAGCACCCTTGGGTTTAAACCCTGGTACAAGAAGAAAAAGATGACGATTTGAGGTAATCTGAGGAATATAGGAGAGAAAAATATTGTGTGAGACTTGCTGAGTTTGAAGTTACTCTGAGACATCTATATATAGCTACCTGCAAGTAATTCAAAATATCACTCTAGAAAGACTGAACATTAGAATTTGTGGCTTTATTATTTTAGTAAAATTGGACCTTGCTATGTTGCCTAGACTGCTATTAAACTTGTGGGCTCAAGTGATTCTCCTATATGAGCCTCCCAAGTAGCTGGTACTACTGGCATGTGCCTGATAATCTCTGCTATTTGGGATTATCAACCAAGTGATTATTGAAATAATGAACTTGCCAATGGGTAGAATGCAAGGCAAGTAGAAACCATGGTGTGCTTGAGCAACGTGAATAGGTGGGATCAGGTAGTGTAAAGTTGAGAAGTGTAGTGAGGTTTGATAATTGGATTTCAAGGAAAGATTATGGGACATGATTCATGAGTGAAATGTTGCCAACCAGGGAAGCTCATGAGAGACTCTGCTCAGAATTTTTATTGAAGATTGATCACATTAGGACCTTTGATCTTTGGAAAAAATCTCACCTAATATTAGAAATGATGCCAGATTTTAGTGGTATAAAAGAATATGAGAAGGGCTGGGGATGTGGCTCAAACGGTAGCGCACTCACCTGGCATGCGTGCGGCCAGGGTTCGATCCTCAGCACCACATACAAACAAAGATGTTGTGTCCGCCGATAACTAAAAAATAAATATTAAAAAATTCTCTCTCTCTCTCTCTCTCCCTCTCTCTCTCTCTCTCTCTCTCTCTCTCTCTCTCTCTCTCTCCCCCTCTCTCTCCCTCTCTCTCCCTCTCTCCCTCTCTCTTTGAAAAAAGAAAAAAAATCTTTAAAAAAAATATGAGAAATTGAAAAAGAACTAAAAAATGTTGTATAGAAAAGATTTATCTGTCTAGATTAAAAAAAAAAATCACAATTTTCCATGCAACAATTTACCACTTTAGAAATCTTACTCTTTCCTCTTCTTTTGTGTGTTCTCTTCGGATTGATCCCAGTGCTACACTCATGTTAAGTACTGTACCACAGAGCCACATCCTCGGTCCTAGAAATGTTTTTAATTTCTTGCATATTTTTCTGTTTTAGTCTTTGAAAGCAGCAAAAGTATCACAGTGCAATATGAAAATAGTAATGCTTATTAAGTGATTAACAGATTTTTATGCCACTCTCCTTCCTTCCACTAGATGGACCTCTTTCAATTGTTTTCTCAAATGCTCAGTTTTTTGTTTTTTTTTTTACACTAACCCTCTATTCCTTTCAATTCAGCTTTCTCTTGTTTATTCAGGAAAGTCGAGGCTAAAGAGTTTATTTATGTAGAGTTTATACTGAAACATTGAAAATGTTTGTAGGCATTGGAGGAATATTACTGTTAAATTTCTTTTACTATTCATAGAAAGAATATAAAAAGACAGCAGTATGAAGCCATCGTTGGAGCCCAATGTGGTAATGCAGTATTAAGAGGAGCTCATGTCTATGTTCCAGGAATCATGTCAGCTTCAAAATGTAAGTATAAGTTTTAGGGTTCCCTAAAAATCATGTGTATTTTCAAATGGAAAATTTGGTATATTTCATTGAGATGTTGTTCAAATTTACCTTTGTTATGTGTTTTTCAAGCTTAGCATTTAACATAGCCAGTGAGGATTTTACCTGATAAGGACTAACAAAGTAAGCATGCACATAAAGCTTTCTGACAATTGTTTTCTCTGCACATAAGTATTTACATGGTGATATTTGTTTAAAGAGCCATTACTGATTAATAGACAGTGTAAGTGAGATTCTGTTTTGTATTCTCAACTCTGTTGCCTTAAAACCTCAGGCTTCTCTTGTGTAATTTGTGAGGGTAATATGTAGAACTTGGAATCTGAACATTAGGTGAAATGTGATATTCTTAATTTATTCACTCAGTTGACAGCATATTGCATATGCTTATTACTAAGTTAAGACCCCATGGTTAACTGGTATCTTATTGGATTTGAAATCACAAGGCACTATTTATTTATTTTTATGTGGTACTAAGGATCAAACCCAGTGTCCCACACATACAAGGCAAGCAATCTGCCACTAAGCCACAAGTTTTAATCTATTGCAATCTTATTCTTCTCTGGGCTTTGATTATCTTGCATAGGAAGTAAATATTTTGATCCACATCAGAATTGTCAGACTATTTCCTGCAGACCAGATTGGGCCTATGTTTGTTTTTGTCTGGCCTTCAAATTAATTTTTTTTTTAGAAATTTCGTTTTGAGGAATCTTAACATACATTATTTTTGTTGTTGTTTTTCATATTGAGGATTAAACTCAGGGTCACTGGATCACTGAGCCACATTCCCAGCACTATTTTGTATTTTATTTAGAGACAATGTCTTAGGGCCTTGGAGTTGCTTAGCGACTTGCTGTTGCTGAGGCTGGCTTTCAACTCAGTATCCTCCTGCCTCAACCTCGCAAGGTGCTGGGGTTACAGACATGTGTTTCATGCCCAGCTCTTAGCATACATTTTTGAGGAATCTTCCTTTGGAAGGAAACTTAAAGAGCTTTTGCATATTAAGCTAAGATACAAAGATTTACAGGAAATCTTTTAAAGAATGTGAGGTTTGGGGATCATAATTTATTTGGAAAATATCTTCTTTTGCACAGTTGAACATTTCCAACTTAAAGGATGTTTTAAAGACTACTCTTTTGTTTTCACTGAAAAATTTCTCCATTTAGATTTATTGTTGGGAATATTTTAAAGCCAAAAGATTTCTCTGTAAGGATTATATTGAGATAATTAGCAAATTTAAATGGCTTATTTCCACTGTTTATGTCCCTAGAAACCCTGATTGTAGCTTGAAGAACGTTTTGTTATTCTCCTAGAACATGGGTTAATGTAATCTGGTTTTCTTCCTTTCCTAGTTATGAAAGCTGGAGATGTTATTTCTGTGTACTCCGATATTAAAGGGAAATGTAAGAAAGGAGCCAAAGAATTTGATGGAACAAAAGTATTTATTGGAAATGGGATTTCTGAACTAAGCCGCAAAGAAATCTTCAGTGGGCTACCTGAAATGAAGTATGGTATTCAGTGCTATGGGAGGAATAAACATCCTTTGGGTGGTTTAAAAATAGTGTACACAATGTAAAAAATCAAATGGAAAAAAATTATTTAATCCATAATCCCATGATTTTTTGGAAAAAAAAATACTTTTGGGTAAAAACAGTAAATGGGTTAAAAAGCCTACCTAAGCAACCAGTCATATGCTAATTGTCAAAATTTTACTTGTCCTTTGAATTTTAATAATTTTTGCATCTTTGAGGAACAGTACTTTCCTTGATAGAGAGTGAATTAGATGACTCATCTAGATCAGTTTAACATTCAAATTTTGTGGGAAAAAAAGTTTGTGATTTTAGTAAAAAAAAAAGTTTCCCTTTGATTCTAGGGATTGAATGAAGAGGCACTCTGCCACTAATTTATATCCCTAGCCCTTTATTTTTGAGACAGGGTGTCACTAACTTGCCAAACCATGAATTTATAAGCCTCCTGCCTTGGTGTCTTGAGTAGGTGAGATTACAGGTGTGCACAACCACACCCAGCAGAAATAGGTCTTTTAAATAAAAAAATTTTACCAGAAAATCAGTATTCACATGAATATTTCTGTGAACAATTTGTTTGTTCTTATTTTACTTAGTTCTTTCAGCTTGTTGTAGAATACTGTAGACATCTTCATTTATCCAAAGTTGACATGGACATAACTAAGATCTCTGCATTTATCCATCTAGAACTAGACCATATCCCTGATTCCTGGAACAGTGTTTTTCATGTTACAGCAGTTTTCTGTCTAATTGAAACTCCTCTGAAGAAACAAATTATTGAATTTCCTATATTTAGATAGCAATACTTTCTAAATTGTGTTCCTTAAAAGGCTTTGGGAGTATGAAAATGATGCAAATGTCTTCTATTTCTCTTTGAGTCTGTAATAGGGGATTGATATTTTAGTTCATTATTAATGGTATACTCTTAATTCTTTTATTTGATGTGGTGGTTCCTATTACTATGTTGAATAATGTTTTCGGATCGATGTTCTGAATGTTTCCTTTATTGATAGGAGTAGAAAGCAGCTATTACAAAAAAAAAAAAAACTATTGACTTTCTCTGACAGTGTTTGTGTGCCCTCTCTCCCCCCTTTAATAGTCTCTGACTATCTTTGATTGCATTGTTTGTCTTTATGAATCACTGTCTACCATGCCATCTGTGTCCTGGCCCCTTCCTGTTCTGATCAGCTCTACTGCCACTCATTAAATGGGACATAGGAAGAAAAGGTCATATTGGGATTGTGTCAACACTTGGGCAGTTATTCTATAAAAAGTTGATAGGAGAATGTAGTATGTAGATGTGCAGCCAGGGGAGCCTGATTAACCCAGGGGTGGAAGCCTGGTTAACCCAGGGGTGGGAGCCTGGTTAACCCAGAGGTGGGAGACTGACAAAGCAATAGTCTTTGCCATTGCTCAGCATGATTCTAGGTATTTTTTTCATTTTTCATACAGGTACTGAGTAGAGTATCTTATAAACTCGATCATTCATGAAATGTTGATTAATTAGATAGACTAAGTTACCGTAAGTCAGTTACCAAAAAGATTAGAATGAATCAAAAATCAGATGTTCTTAGCTTTTTAGTTTATTAAGATATCTAAAGAAACTCTTGTGCCTAAATTAAAAACTTATTTATTTTTTTCCTTTTGATTCTGATGGGCTCTTTTACCCTACTCAAGGTAAACATTCACAAACAATTCTCAGGACTATTCAAAGTATTTTAGTGTTAAAAAAAGGCAAATAATTTTATATTTGACATGCTACTTGAATATATTCATAGAAATATGTACTATGTAGCTTGTACACACTAATGTTAGATTTCCTCTTTTTCAGAGGTATAGGCATAAGAATGACAGAACCAATATATCTCAGCCCTTCCTTTGACAATGTACTGCCCAGTTACTTATTTTTACAGGTAAGTATCTATAGAAGAAAAATATGACATTGAAATATATTTTGGTAGATAACTCTAAATCTCAGTGTTTTTATGAAAAACTTATATTAAAATATTTCTTGTGGTCTATTTATATATATTTTGATTAAACAAGGAAAATCTGAGTGTTCCTGCTTTTTTCCTTAGTACATTTTTTGAAAATCTTTTTCTCTCTCCTTTATTCAAAGGTGACTTTATGACACTAAAATTACTGCTTTCCATTTAAGAATGTCAGTCCCTAAATAATGCACCCATTTGATGTTCATTTAAGTGTTCCATTTGTCTCTTTTAGTAAGATTCTAATGGTTTAATGATATCAGATTTATGAGATGGATATCAGTTGCAGTAATAAGTCATCTGGTTTGCCTTTTCCAGTTTAATAAGCACTTTCATTAACTCATTTGTTACTATTTGCTGGTTAGATGATGATTTTCTCAATATAAGATGAAGATACTGAAAACTAGATCTGTTTTTGGCCAACTTCACACCACTAGTAGTTGGTAGAGTCTGACTACAAACCTAAGTTCAGTTACCATGTGCTTTATTCTCTTTCTAGTATTAAACCAAAAGTTATTTACAAATTCAGAAATAATTCCCATGGTGAATAATCAGAAAGTGATTTATATTGTCATCTATTGGCACATTAGTAATAATGTGAAATATTAGACTCTATAACCTAATACACAATGGCTTGTGGATCATTTTTGGTCATTTTGTTTGCTTAGTTTTTGGTTTTTGCTTATTTGTTGTATAATCCATTTTCAAACACTTGTGATCATCTGACAATACAGCCATGCATCATTGCTTGCAGAATCTAATACAATATTATTTTTCTCTTCGGTAAAAGAAAGGGCCATATACTGCTTATCCCATCATTTAGTTTTGACTTTGGAAAAGAGAAAAATCAGTATAGTGCAATTTTTATATATTTTTGATACTTATACTAGGATCACTACTTTCCCTCACCTATAACCTTAAGATCAACTTGACAACTACATAAAATATAAATTGTGAAACAGTTTATGACTCAAAATATTCAAGTAGCATCATAAAGTCATATTCTTTATCACTTAATGACAAGGAACATGAGATGTTACAGCTAGAATGAATCTTTTATATCTGAGGGTAGAATTTTTGTCACTTCCCTAGTGAAAGCTGTTTTATTGTATAAAATGTACATTGATGATCTTTGACCAGTAAAGTTATTAAAAATGAAAATGGTAATACCAGATAGCACTTAATTGAGTGGGTATTGCATTCCATGTGTCATGCTGAGTGTTCTAGATACACTTTTTCATACGCTACTTGTAAACCTTCAGTTTCATAGACAAGGAAATGGAAGCCTAGAGAATTAAAGTGTGTGCACATAGTAGACACTCAGTAATTTTCTAATGGCTAAATTAGGGTTTGCTGATTGCCACATATAAATCAAGAAAGCCAGAATTTGAATGTAGGTCTTTCTGACTTAAAGCCTTTGCTCTTGACCATATGCCAATGCTTACAGTGTGACTCTTGGAAGATCTGAATCACTTGCAGGGCCTGTTTCAAATTCAGGTTCTGAGCTGAGTAAGTGGGAGCTCCAGGTAATTCACATAGTCCTTAAGTTTCCCAAATACTTCTTTTACAACTTCCCAGAAATCCTTGTCTAGTGTTTAGTTTGCACATGATTAAATTTTCTTTTACAAGCTAGACAAGAGGATACACACCTGTAATTCCAGACTTGGAATACTGAGACAGGAGCCTTGTTAAGTTTAAGGTCAGCCTCAGCAACTTAGCAAGATGGTGTCTTAAAATAAAATTGACTGGGGTCAGGGCTCAATGGTAAAGCGCCCCTGGGTTCAATCCCCAGCACCAATCAATAAATTTCTTGCCCTTTACAGACTAATTCAGAACCACCACGTTTTTAATTGGGTCATATCTGATACAGTGAAATCTAAATAGCTTAATTTAGTGCAGGCCAGACCAGGAAATAACAATTTCCTTAAGAAACATATCCAGTGGCTGGGGATGTGGCTCTGAGATAGAGTGCTCGCCTAGCATACTGGGTTTGATCCTCAGCACCACATAAAAATGAAATAAAGATATTGTGTCCACCTACAACTAAAATATATATATATATATATATGACTTAATATAAAAAAATATATTTTTTTAAAGAAACATTTTCAAAAGAAGAATAGTAAGTTTATTTTAAGAAGAATGTCCATCTTAAAGAATCATTATGGTCCTTGAATTCTTATATGTTATGATTTTCACAAATAGAAAAGTTCTCATATTTACACGTAATGGTAATAGAACAAATTTGGAATTTCTAAATAATCCAATAGCCTTTTCAGACAAACATGAACAAAGGACTATAAAGTATAGATGTCAATTAAAAGACCAAAAGTATAATGATGTGAGAAGTATCATCTCAAAGCACTTTTCAAGAGCTTCAGGTCATTGAAATAGATACTGACACTTCAATGTCAAATTGAAAATTCTGCTTTTAGGTGTCAGTTTCCATTCTTCTCTAAAAGCTAAGAGGCTGATAGTAGACATAACATATCATTGCATTGTGGTTTTAGGAACCAACATGATGTCATAAAAGATATTCAAGTTCTTTCGTAGGTTTCACCCTACAGAGTCTTGATGTCTCACAAATTTTATAATTCCTTCATGCTGGTTATCAGGACTCTGGAATAAATTAGTATGCATCAAAACCCTTCTAGAACTTAAAAGAACTTGTAGGTACCTAGGATCTGTTCTTGGAGATTTCCTAATTAAATAAAGTTTTATTTTGGAATTACAGAGTGGAACTTAAGAATTACAGAGATAATACAAGAATTCTTGTATGCTCTTTGCCTAGTTTCCCCTAATAGTAACAATTTTTTTTCTTTTTTCAATATTTTTATAGTTTAAACAATTCTAATTAGTAACAAATTATGATGCTACATTTGTCATTGCTTAGAAAACCAACAGTGGTTCTTGGGAAGTTAAACTGGGAAGAACACTAGAGCCCACAAGTTTAAGACCAGCCTGGGTAATAGTAAGATTGCTATGTCATTCAAAACAAACAAAAACTGATACATTAAACCATTAAACGGTATCCCCACTCCAAATGTGTATACCATATTATAATAAACTCTAAATTTTATTCATATTTCACCAGTTTCTCCCTTAACCTCTTTTTGTGTATGTGTCTGTAGGATCCCAGGCTGCATTTAATCATTGTTTATTCTTAATCTCTTCTGGCCTGGATAGTGGCTGTCATTCCTTATTTCTGAAACTTCCATAGTTTTGAGACTAAGCTATTTTGTAGACTCTCTCTCTTAGGAATTTTCTAATGTCTTCTTTTGATTAGACTGGGATTACTTTGTTTGGCAGAAGAATGCCGCATATCAGGGCTGATATCTCTCTGGAGAATTTAATTCAGTAGGTCTAGAGTAGATACTAGAAATCTTTTATTTAAATTTTTTTTTAAATTTTGAACTTCACAAAAAGTATTTTTTTGCAATTTTTATTGGTACATTGATTATACATAATAGTGGAATTTATTGTGATATATTTGTATGCGCATTTAACATAAATTTCATTCCCCAGTATGTTCCCTTTGTCTCTCCCTGGTCTCTGTCTTCTTGTCTACTAGTCTCTTATTTTCATGAGACACCCTGCTTTCTTTCCCCTCCTTTTTCTTTATAGCTTCCAGTTGTGAGAGAAAACATGACCCTTGACTTTCCAAGTCTGGCTTATTTAAGTCAATATCATGTCTTCCAGTACCATTAATTTTTCTTCATTCTTCTTTATGGCTGAATAAAACTCCTTTGTGTGTGTATATATATCACATTTTCTTCATTCATTCATCTGTTAATGGACAGTCGCCTAGGCTGGTTCTGTAGTGGGGCTATTGTGAATTGTGCTACTATAAACGTGGGTATGCATGTTTCACTACGGTATACTAATCAGTTTTTTCACTGCAGTATACTGATCAGTTTTTTTTTTTTTTTTTTTTTGAGAAATACCAAGGAGTGGTATTTCATATAGTGGTTCCATTCCTAGTCTTTTGAGAAGCCTCCCTATCAATTTCAATGTGAGTACACTAATTTACAGTTCCACCAACAGTGTATACATATTACCCTCCCACACACATCCTCATGTATTATTGTATTTTTGATGATTGCCATTCTAACTAGAATGTGATGAAATCTCAGTATTGTTTTGACTTGCATTTTCTGACTAAAAATAGTGAACATTTTCTTCATATTTGTCTTAAATTCATATTTCATTTGAGAAATGTCTGTTTAGTTCACTTGCCCACTTATTGATTGGATTATTTTGGGGGTCCTTTTGGAGTTCTTTATATATTCTGCATATTGATTGTGTCAGAAGAGTAATTTGTAAATACTTTCTTTCATTTTGTATGCTTTCTTTGTACTCTTAATTATTTCCTTGCTGTGCAGAAGCTTTGTAACTTGATGTTATCCTATTTATTCTTGGTATTTGCTATGCTTTGGGAGTTCTATTGAGGAAGTTGTTGCCTGTATGTATATATTAGCATGTTTAACTGATGTGTTCTTAGAGACAGAAGAAGACAAAAAGACCTCTGCTGTTCTTGTTTAGACTATTAATATTGTTAAAAAGGTAATATTACTAAAAGCAATCTACAGATAAAAATGCATTCCCAGTTAAGATGGCAATGACATCCTCAGGAACTAGAAAACATTAATCTTAAAATTCATATGGAAGAATAAAAGACCCAAAGTAGCAAAAACAATCCTGAGTAAAAAGAGCTATCCTGGAGGCATTACAATACCTAATTTCAAATTATACTATAGTAACAATAATTGAATGGTACTGACATAAAAACAGACAGCTTGAAAGTTTCTGGTGTAATTCCTAATTTTGATTCTATTTTTTTTTTTTTTTTTGGTGGGGTTGGGGGTGGTGAACTGGGGATTGGCACTCAACCACTGAGCCACATCTCCATCCCCATTTTGATTTAAAAACAGGCTCTCACTGAGTTGCTTAGCACCTTGCCATTGCTGAGGCTGTGATCCTCCTGCTTCTACCTCCTGAGCTGCTGGGATTGCAGGCATGTGCTACCATGCTGGACAAATCTGATTCATTCTGAGTTGACTTTTGTGCAGTGTGAAAGATAGTGATCTGGTTTCATCTTTCTATATGGGTACAGTTTTGCCAGCTTCATTTGTTAAAAAGATTGTCTCTCTTCTAACATATTTCTGATCCTTTTGCCAAGGATCAGATGACTATACCAGGGTGGACTTGTCTCTGTGTCTTCTGTTCTGATCTACATGTCTCTCCCCCACCTCCTTTTCTCTCTCCTCTCTCTCTCTCTCTCTCTCTCTCTCTCTCTCTCTCTCTCTCTCTCTCTCTCTTTCTCTCTCTCTCTCTTTGTCAGTACTGTGTAATTTTTGTTACTATAGTTCTAATATGATTTGAAATTAAGTATTATGCCCCTGGTATTGCTCTTTTTGCTCAGGATTGCTTTAGCTACTCTAGATCTTTTATTCGTCCATATGAATTTTAGAATTTTTTTCCCCTGGATCTGTGAAGGATATCATTGCTATTTTGTCATTACCATTTTAGAATTTTTTTCCCCTGGATCTGTGAAGGATGTCATTGCTATTTTGTCATTACTATTCAATATGCATTGAATCTGTAGATTGCTTTTGGTAATGTGGTCATTTTAACAGCATTAATTTTGTCTGAACAAGAACAGGGCAGGTCTTTTTATCTAGTAGTGTTGTCTTCAATTTTTTTCTTCAGTGTTCTGTAATTTTCATTATAGAGGCTTTCTGCTTGGTTAGATTTGTTTCTAAGTTTTTGTTTGTTTGTTTGTTTTTGAAACTACTATGAATGGAATTGCTTTCCTGATTTATTTTTCAGTGGATTTATTGTTGTTGTATAGAAAACTATTGATTTTTGTACATTGATTTCCTCCTCCCTCCCCAGTTCTGGTGTCACAATATCTTTTATTTTTTATTTATGTGATGCTGAGGATGGAACCCGGTGCTGAGGATAGAATCCAGCGCCTCACATGTGCTAGGCGAGCACTCTGTGCCATAACCCCAGCCCCTGATTTTTTTTTAATCCTGCTATTTTAATAAATTTATCAGCTGTAGTCATTTTCTAGTGGTTTCTTGAATCTCTTAAGTTTAAGATATCATCTGCAAACAGTGATAGTTTGACTTCTTCTTTTTCTATCTGTCCTTTTTTATTTTTCTCTTTCTTTTGCCTAATTGCTCTGGCTACAATTTCAAGTACTATATTGAATAGTAGTGGTAAGTGTCAATGTCCTTATCTTGTTCGTGACTGTAGAGGAAATGTTCTGTTTTTTCGTTTAGGATGATATTAGCTTTGGGTTTGTTATATATACCTTTATGACATTGAGGTAAATTTCTTCAATGTTTTTAACATGAATGGGTGTTAAATTTTGTTGGAGACCTTTTTTTCATCTGATGATGATCATGTGATTTTTGTCCTTAAATTCTATATGTGATGAATTAATTTATTGATTCACATATGTTGAACCATGCCTGTATCCCTGGAATGAAATCATCTTGATCATGATATACAATATTGTTAACATGTTTAATTCAAATTGCTAATATTTTATTAAGGATTCTTCCATCTGTGTTGCATACATCAGGGAATTTGGTCTTTAATTTTTGTTCATGAATGTGTCCTAGTTTGGGGATCAGGATGTCCCTTTTATTTTCTTGCCTAATTGCTCTGGTTAAAATTTCAAGTACTATATTGAATAGTTGTGGTAAGAGTTGACATCCTTGTCTTGGTCCTTATTTTAGAGAAAATGACTTCATAGAATAAATTTGGAAGAGTTCCTTCACTTTCTCTTTCATATAATAATTTGAAAAGTGTTGGCATTAGTTCTTCAAAGGTCTGGTAGAATTAGCCAAGAAACCATCTGGTCATGTTTTTTTTCTCCCCTTCAGCAATTTATTTATTTATTTTTTTTAAAAAAATTGCTCATTCTTTTTAGTTACATGAGAGTAGAGTATAATTTGTCAGTTATACAAACATGGAGTACATCTTATTCTAATTAGTATCCCAATCTTGTGGTTGTATATGGGTTTCTTTGTTGGAGCTTTTTATGACTGTGTTGATCTTATTATTAGCTCTTGGTCTGTTTAGGTTTTCTATATCCCCTTGGTTCAATGTAGGTCATATCTGTCAAGAAATTTGTATCATTCCAGTTTATTGAAATATAAATTTTCAAAAGTCCCTAGTAATCCTTTGAATTTCAGTGATGTCTGGGATAGTATCTGTTTTTCCATCTCTAATTTTTTTGTCTTCTTTTTCTCCTGGCTGAGATATTTTCAATGGGGGATATTTTCCCACACACTCCTGTATTTATAATAATAGGCATGGGCTCCCCTTTGTAGGTTTTGGTGCTTTTGGCAAAGGGACACATGGCAGAGGCAAAATGCAACTCAACAGCTATGGTACATGGATGCAATGGGACACCAAGATTGTGGCCAGTGGCTAGAGCTCAGGGCACTGATTCATTTATTTACTTGACAAATATTTATTGAGCATTCATTATATGCAAGATGCATATACATGTTGATGATACAGTAGAAATATTTAGACAAACAATCCACACCCTTATTTTCTGGTGTGTCTATTCTAATTGGAGAAGGAAATAGGTTTAGTATGTTAAAAGACAGTAATACTGTGGCCCTGTGGAGCAAACTAAAGAAAGTAATGTGGGAGAGGACTGCTAGATTGTAATAATTATGAGTGAAGCTTTATCAGCTATCTCTAGATAAAGCATCAAACAATTTTTAGTAGCCACATGCTTTAATGTTCTGTTTTGGAGTTCAGTTTTTAAGTACTGTTGGAATAAATTAGGCCCATGAAGATGAACTATTTGTAAATAGGTTTTAGTCTTTAGTGTAAAGAATTGCTTTTCATATACCCTAAATTGCATTGATTTTAATGCTTTGTATAGTCACAGGGAAAACTTGCTCATTCATAACTGCTTTTTCACCATGGATCTTCCTTTTTGAATTTCTAATCTTGGATTCCTTTGGGAAGATTGCAACCTTGTCAATTGTAGAGGGTGTACTTATGGATATAATTTTAAGTATTTTGGTAGTAACTGAAAACTTTTGGCTTTAAAAATTACTTCATGCTTGTTGGCCTCTATTTATTTGTTTCCCCTTGCCCAAGAAATATTTAAAAATGGATTAGTTTGTGATAGTATTACACCTGTCTTACTCAGGGCTATTGTCATGAAATAGCAGTCTTTATATAATAATTCAAATAACAGTCATTTAATATTACCTACTGCTATCTCCATGATACCCACAACATTTCCTTTCTCTGGAAATGTTGTGGATATCATGGAGATAGGAACACAAACATGACTTCTGTGTAAACTTAGTGTAAATCCAGGATTCTTACATTAGATGATGCGGTACCCGCAAATTGTAAAGTCTACTTTTTTGGAAAAAGAGCCAGAGCATTCTCAAATTTTATTCTCTCAAATATTGAGAACCACTGGAAGTAAAAAAAAGTAATAATAATTATTGTTTTGCTGATACCCAGAAAACATCAGGGAAGGACCCTGAATTGACTGAAAAATGTGTCCTGTGTGTTTATGTGCAGGTAGATGTATTGTGTGAGGTCGTAGGATACTCTAGGAATACTGATCTCCTGACATTAGTATATTTATAGAAATTGTACTCTTAACAAATCTGGGGATGCTGTACTGAATTTACACTGAAGATTTCTTTATATTCTCTGGTTCTGAAATTAAAAATGATTTAGAATCATTGATAATCTATTGCATCGATGCTTTTTCTTTTCAGAATTTGCCGTCTGCTGTAGTAACTCATGTTTTAAATCCTCAACCTGGAGAGAAGATTCTAGATTTGTGTGCAGCTCCTGGAGGCAAAACAACACATATAGCAACACTAATGCATGATCAGGTAAGACTATCTTCATAACAAAACTATTCGATGTATTACTTATTTCAGTGGTGAGGGTAGACTGTAACTTAGAAAACACATCTATACTTCTACTTCAGATTTATCCAAAGTGAAAATTGTTCAATTATGTCAGTTCACCAAACATTAAGTTCAGTAAACACTTATTTGTGAAGACTATCTAAAGACCCAATTGAATCCTCAATTTACTCTACATTATAAAATACAATTCTTTCCTCATATAATTAAGTTTGAAACATTTAAGAGATCTTTTCATATTCTTTCTTTTAAAGTTTTGCCCTTGTTCTAACTATTCTACCACTAAATATTGAGAGTATATTATCAGGGTGGAAATGTTTATGTTGATATCTATACACATAGATATATATAATACATAAATAAACACATATAAATACTTACAGAATGTGTGCATCTTGAGTATCTTAAATCTTATTTAGTTTAATTATAAAATATGCTTCTTTGTAACAATGCAGGTAAGTGTGATCTTGGATAACTTTGGTTGAAATCTTATTGTTTTCCTATGAATGTATATTTGCAAAGTGCTTTATCATGGACTGGTTTTATCTGTTTTCAAAACTCATTATAGCCTTATAGCCTACAATTTTATTTAATTGGAGAAGTATTTAGCCATCTAATGCCATCTTTTGTTTCAAACTCTATATAAAACTAAATGGTACCTAAAATCTGAATACTTACCAGTTTCTCAGTCTAAAGCCCTTGATTGGTTGGTTGAACACTCTTTAGTACTTACTTTGTGTTAGATACTGGGGATAAAGCATTGATATATTTCTGTGTTTAATTATACTCTTCTTTGCCTAATAGGAATTTAAGTAGTGGCAGGAAAAACTCTTGAAGGATAAATATATTAAATACCAATAGTGTTTCTTTAAAAAAAAATGCCAACAGTGTTTAAAATAAAGCTCATGAAATAGAAGGGTTTATTTTGTGACTATAGATTTTAATGCAAATCCTTTTTCAGTTTTCTTGAAACTTTAAATATGCAGATTGAGGGACTGGGAGAGTGGCTCAGCAGTAGTACATTTGTCCAGCATGTTCAAGGCCCTGGGTTTGATCCTCAGCACCACATAATAAATAAATAAATAAAATAAAGGTATTGTGTCCAACTACAACTAAAAATTAAATATTTTAAAAATGTACAGATTGATTATGATATGATCTGACAGTGAAAATAACTGCCTTTTAATTTATGACATGTTTATTATATTTGCCTGATGGCTATTATTCATACATACTTTATTCTCTCTAGTAAAGTCTTTCCAAAGAGAATCTGAATATTATAGATATATTAATTTTCAGCCAGTTTTATAATGCTGGGTAAAAATCACATCTAGGTAAAGAAGACAAGTAGATATGAACATTTTGAAAAATACTCAAACAATATTAAAGTGATGAAAACAAAAAAAAAAATCTAGGAACATTATTAGCAAATTTTCTGTTATCATTCTTTGCCCCTGAGGCATATATCATAGACAGATGATATATGCAAAAGGAACAAGAGAAAATACATAGAAAAGTCAATTGCACCATTTTTGCAGTAATCATTTCATAGTACATTTTAAAGTATTACAATGCATTCTTAAAATTGTCATCTTTCATAACTTTGACTTAACACAAATTTTATCATATAAAGTAATTTTGAAGTGTTTTTAATATCAATTCCAGAATATTTGCTGGGATGTACAGAGGTTTTGGCTCTTCTTTTTCTGCCTTTAGTTGCAAGAATTTATAGGAATTTTGTGTGACTAGCTCAAAAATATTAAAATGACTATCAATTTTATAAGTAACCTTTATTGGCATATAAAGGCACTTTAAGTTAGATGTCTCATACATTAGTTCATCCTTTTTGAGAGGTTAGGAAGTCACATCAAATTGGTGATTTTTGATGTTTACTTTCAATAGGTGTTTTTGAGCTTCTTGAAGATTGCAAACACTATAATCAGTTTTGATTTCTATTGATTAAAAGTAGCTAACTATAAGAAAGATTAATTATTGCAAGGATATCTTTTAAAAGGAAACACTTAAGTTATTTGGTGTAAATTTTTTTTTT